GTGGCGGCCAGCACAGTGCGTACAGGACATGACAGGAGACGGCGTGGCGGCCAGCACAGTGCGTACAGGACATGACAGGAGACGGCGTGGCGGCCAGCACAGTGCGTACAGGACATGACCCAAGATAGTAATAATAATATCAGTACACATGATTTTAGGTGCCCCTGCGGAGACTTACTCTTCAAGGCGACGGTTCCGTCCTCAGAAAGCTTGTTTGGGTCAAAGAAGACAGAGGCAGGTTCATCCAGAGAGTCTTGGACATAAAGAACGTCCTGATTCTGCAGGCCCTGATTGTGGAAGTAGAAGTACCTGCGGATGGGACACAGCAAGGTGGGAGTTGTTTGGGTGTCCTAGGCCTGGGTGAAGTCATGTGACCCTGACAGCTGACCTTTCTCTCACCTGCAGCTTTCCTCCCGCTTATGCCATCCCATCTGACAGGGGTGGGGCCATTGGCCCCAGCTGGAATCTGATTGGCCCCCACAGTGCCCCCTCCCCTGTCACTCACTGATTTGAAGCATATCATTGGCTAACGGACATTTGTTGAGAAAGCAGGGTCAGACAATTCCTGGAGCAACTGGGGGTTAAGGGCCCTGCTTAAGGGCCCAGCGGTGACATCACTTTGCCGACATGCCAGTTGAAACCTTTGAGATTCTGACCACTACCCTAACCCTGACCTGCTGGGTGCCCCTCCCCCTGCCCCCTATATCATATGTGTCTGGGATTTGCCTACCTGTCTCCCCGTTTGTAGGGACAGCTGTACTTAGGATAGTCAAAAAGATCCGTCAGCCGCTGGTGGAACTTCTCCCTGATGGCGCACTGCTCCAGGTAGGGCATGGTCAGCTTGTTCTGCTCCTCCACGAAGGCCTGGACCGCAGCGGGACAGGAACCATGCCTTGTTACATGGGGGAGGGGCTCTCCGCTCGCACGTTTGGCCCCGACGATGCACATACCTTGGTCTCCTCGCTGTCGGGGTCCTCCAACCAAGCATAAGGGTCAGGCACCTTCACGCCGTGATACATGTCCACCTATGAGGGAGATCAGGACCTGTAGTTTGGGTGGGGTGTGAGGCGTGTGTGTGTGCAGGGATGTGCACTAGCAGCGTAATCCCTGCAGACATACGCAGTGGAATAGGATATACTGGTGCACACACACACATACACACACACACACACGTTCACAGGGGCGTACAGTGCAAACACACAGTGAGAGGGAGGAGCCGGAATTACAAGGAAAAGGCTGTGACCGCTCAGAGGGAGCATCTGACGGGGGGGGGGGGGGGGGGGGTCATGCAGACTGACAGACATTAACCCCTAGGCAACATTCCTCGTGCATTTCCAGTGAATTTCTGAAGAAAGGGGATCTATACATACACCATGATCCTGCCCTGTGGCCACAGGTTCCTCAGAAATGCACAAGAAAAGGCGCAGTCCATGCGCTGGGCCAACTCAAGAACGGGTGTGAAGAGAACAAGAAAATCAGGCTACTCCATGTCCGTGTCCGCAGTGTCCCGAGCTGAATGCTGCACGTTGCCCCGCTGAAGGCGTGTGAATCTGTGTCCCAGTGGACCAGCGGACTGATTGTACACTGTTAGTGCAGGGCTGAGGCCTATTCTCTTCCTGCTCCTGCTCTGTCTCCTTACATATTTCTTTAAGGATCCCCTCTCCCTCCCTCCCCCCACACCCAGGCCAACCTTGCTGTCGTCCCTGCGGATGGCTGGGTACTCGAAAGCCATGGTGACCAAGAGTGCTCTGCGTGTCCGTCTGTCTGTCCGTTCCCCGGGCAGCGTCTTCAGAACCACGGTACCTTCCTGCTGATCTGACTCCTGCTCAAAGCGAAAGTGGAAGCAAAACTTCCACCGCATGGGCGGCAGACAGGAAGTGACATCGTCGGAAGACTCAGCAGGGGGAGGGCAGCCCTTTGGCCAAACACACACACCCCTCCGCCCTCGCGTTCGCTTGAGCAACACAACTTTCGGCTTTTTTCCAAATCAGGGGTAGTTTGTCTGCAATGATTCATTCTCCTATTTAACAAAAAGTCCTCTGCCCCTATTTCTCTTCTTCCCGTAGTGAAACTCACAAATGAAGATCAAAACAAGTGCTTTTTATGCCTTATGATATTTGGACTCTGCTGTTGCACTCCTAGGTTTTAAAACACTGATGCACCATTACATTTCTCAGTCCGTGTGCAGGTTAGCAGAGTGTTTCTCAGCCTGAAGTAATGATAAGCAACCAGTTAATGTGATTCTGCAGCTCGCTGCTGTTTCCGGCTGCTACCCGGGCAACCTACAGTAGTAAAGCTGTCAGATGTTGTGTTTGGTGAGAAGAGCTTGGCCGTTCTCGTTAAACATCATGATGGAGAACAAAAGCTAAAGAGAAGTCACTGAACGAGATGATCAGCAGACAGCAGCCCACCCTGAGATGTCCATGCTACTCTGTCTGAAAACAGGGAAACGTGAGTGCCTGTCACCCACTCAGTGACAGCAATGTGTGTTTCTGCTCCTCGTTGCCGTGGGACTGTGGGCCAAGCTCTGGTTTTCTCCTGTTGAGACATACAGGTATTTTCCCAACTGCCAGTCCTGGCTGTAGCCTTGGATTCTGGTAAAAGAAGGGGGCAGTCGTGGGAGATCCTGCCTGAGGTCAGGCCCTTCGCTCTGATGAGTCATTCGATTCTTCACCATGCATTCATCACCCTGCTTTCGTAGTGGAATCATACCTCTCCATGGTGATCAATAGCAGTGTTATCCAGGGTGCAAAAGCGTGCACTGTCTGGCGGGGAGCTGGGAGTGAGCAAAAATGTGGCCGGCCTGTGGGTGTCTGAGGACCAGATTGGGGATGATATGCAGATGCAGTGTGCAGCATGCATAGTACTCAACACAGAGAGGCGCATGTAGCAAGCTGGTGGTATCGGCCCTGGGGGCTGGATCTGTCACTGGGCCTGCATCACTGGGCCTGCATCACTGGGCCTGCATCCTCACACTAAGGTCCTGAAAAAGTGAGGCTTTTAATGTAACCGCACCAGAGAACAACCTTGCTGTTGAAACAAATAGGGCTGAAAAAGTTCTGATTCGTAGATTAGTGATTGCACAGAAGAACAGGCTAACTAATCAAAGCTCACACCCTCCTCAGAAGCTCAACTGTGTCTGTCTGCTGCTCAGTCTCCATGATCCAGGGTCTGTAAGGACACAGTTAGTGTCAGTGAATCTGTGTGTCACACAGAAAAACACCCCAGGAAAGAAAAAACCCACTGAACCAATTACATTCTTTATTTAGTTATCAGTTTAACACAGTGTTACTCAACACAGTCCTTGGGGACCCCCCCCAGAAGGTTCACATTTTTTCGCTCTCTTCCTGTAGCAGATATTTGGTGTTTCTCCATTGGCTGGGAGCTGAGAGGGAGCAAAAATGTCTGAGGGTCCCTGAGAACCGGGTTGGGAATCACCAGTTTAACGGCAAGTTATTTAGCTTTTTGGGTACAGATCCCGGGCTGAGTGATTTGTGATTAAAGTGCATCCTAAGGGAGGTGGAACGCGATCTCCCAGAGACAAGAGTCGATGTTCACGGTGGCGTTTCACCATGGAGAACCTCCTCTGGCAGATGTCCTGCCTCAGTGCTTCTCTGAAGGCTTCTTGTGAAATATCTGTGTTCTGCCGTCTGCTTCGCATGAAACACGGTCAGAAAGCGAGCTCTTTCCTGGAAAGGAGCTGCGAGATTATTAAGGGCACAGCTGAAAATGCGATCATTGTCAACTACTTGCAGAAATCTGTCATGACGTCACTGTCACCGCAGGGGAAATCTCGTAATAGGCTCTTTTTCTTAAAAAAAACACATGAAGTGAAAGTTTCCAAGCAAAAAAGAAGCATCACAGTGACCATTTCCTGATCTCTCATAAATTGTAATCTCTCATATTATTTCTGAGTCAATAATGTATTATTTCGGGGTATTATGGAATGGCATCGGTTCACTTTAATGCTGTGACGAGCTTTCTGTTACATCGTGCCGGTGACCCACCCTTAGAGTGATCGAGAGGGTGAGCGAGTGAGAGAGAGAGTCACCTCAGCCTCTGAGTAACCTTCACACTTTCTCGCTGACCGACGCAGTAGCTGAAGGCTCGCAGCGACAGACAGCGGGGTGGCTGATTCGGTTTGGGTTCGCGAGGAAGCTGCCGGTGTGGCTCATACGGCTTGTTAGCTTCTCCTCGGATCGATCCCGGCATGCAGCGGCTTAAGGCCTGGCAGAGCCTTTCGGCACCTGTCGGGACGGGCCTGCCTGTCTCGGCGACTCCTAGCAACGAGAAAACACTTTCTGTTGCTAAAGTAGTTGCATCTGCCCTCCTTTAAAGCCCATGTGTGTGTGTGTGTGTGTCCAATCAAAGGCATCAAAGAAGACTCTAAACAAACCTGTTCACAAGTACGTGACGGGCCAGACCACAGTCACCCACGAAAGCGCCATCGGACCCAGAAAAGAGGAATTGAAAGCCCAAACTTGGAGACATCTCTCCGTTTAGCCAATGCTGCGTCTATTTCTGGCTGCACGCCGATTTGCCTAGCCATTTCAGAATTACTGGCATGGCTCCGAGGGAGGGCGAGAGAGCGAGCGAATGCCGCGAGGCAAGGAGCGTCAAACCGCGGCACTTCATGCACAGGTAATAGTCTGCTCCGCAAAAATGGACGCATACTGGAAGAGGAGTGAAGCAGAGGAGACATGCGGAAGGTCATGGGGTCAGAACCCTCACTGCTTTCCAAGCACTGCGTGGGTGCTGGTCTGGATGCTGTGTATCTAATGTGCCTTATGTCCAGATGTGCCTTATAACCTGCATGGGCCCATTATCAGGCACCAGGCTGTATTATACTCAAAAGGGGAAGGACCTCACGATAAGGGTTCGAGTGCTGACCTCACATTATGGCCGAGCACGACAGCCAGTTGGCCGGATGCAAAACGGACTGTAGCAGTCTGATATGGGGGGAGGGGGTTTACAGGCTGGGGGGGGCTTCCTGCTCCATGTGAGCCTGTCAGGGGGGGTGGGCGGCTCAACATGGAGGGGGAGGAGAGGGACACTCCACTGGCCATCCCCTGATTAAGGACAGTCACAGACCCCCCATTGCCACACCCACATAACATCTTACGTACTGGAGGCGGGCTGTGGGCTTCCCTGAGCCCCCAATATTCAGGCCTGGCTGCCATGTTAAAGCCTTCTGCTCTTTCGCGGTTGGCCAGGGACCCGGCAGGGATGGAGGGCGTGCAGGATAAATCTGCTCACAGAAAGGACAACCGAGACCAAGCCTGCGATCACAGGAACCAGCGGAAACCGGTGACCAGTCCGGGAACAGGGTCCCGGGGAGACAGACAGAGACGAAAAAGAAGAGAGACGAGAGCAAACTAAATGCGGGTGAGTGAAACAATGGATAATGATAACACCCCCCCCCCCCCCCCTCAGCAGAGCCATACAGCAAAGGAGGCTTTGGCAGCACTGAGCTGTGGCGGCTGTGGCATTATCTGCGTCGGTGCCCCATGACCGTGCTCCCTTGTCTGTACCCATGTGTCCATGCCCCCGTGTCAGTGCCCCGGTGTCCTGTGCCCTGTATCCGGTGCCAGCAGCGGTAACAATAGAGCAAACAACGAGGACAGGTTGGTCTCTATTCTCAGAAACGAGACGCTGTGTGTTTTTTTTGCTTCTTTTGTTTTTCATTCTGAATGTCAGAGAAGCACAGCCCCCCCATTTCAGGTTTGTTGTTTTGAAAGTTTTCTGCTTCGCCGAAACCAGAACTGTTTTATTTGACTTTTATGACATGCATAAGATGAGGCTTTCATGGGCAATTAAACTGTAAGGGATGGGAAAGAGAGTAGGAATCACCTTTCTGTTTGATATCCATAATATATCTTTCCTTTGCTTCCTTTTGCACAGTATAATGGATAGATAAATAATTACTAACTGAAATGTATCAAAATGAATTATTGTTATGTGTGATGTCATTTTTGACATTATAGTAAATAATAATCATTATCAATAATGACAAGTGAGAAGGAGGACATCAGGTAAATGCCACCACCTATCAGTGGGGGCATTTCATGGGAACTGCCACTCTGTCACCAGACTGAGGTGTCGATTAGAAGATGGTGAGGTGCTTCCTGTCCGGAGATGGGTGCGTGGCTCTGTGGGTTCTGGCGCTGCATCTGTGATCATAAGGTGGCCGGTTCAAAGCCCATGGCTATGCCACGGATTGGAGCCACACTCCATCAACGAGGGGGCAGCGGCCACGGAGATTGGCACGACGGTCCAGTCCGGGCAGCTTGGATCGCAGTGAGAAACAGAGAGCAAGAGGCAGATTAAGTGAGAAGATCTGGGTCAAAGTGTGGCGGAGGTATGGATTGGGGTCAGTGCTGGCAGTGTGGTGAGAGAGATTTCAGAAAGGAGGGAACAAAACTGAGGTGAAGAGGACAGTATGGAGTCTGGGAGAGGACTGTGTCTGGGGATGACCCAAAAACATGCTCTCTGATGGAGAGAGATGGGATGTGTGAGAAGGAGCCAATATACCCACTGGCATGAATACAGAACCTCTGCAGTAACTGCATAAAGTTGCCAGTAAATGTCTGTAAGTGTGATTGCATGTTTTTGGGGGTTTGCTTTGTGCATGACCGGTTTTGCTTGCAAAGAAGCACATATAAATCAGTGTGCATGTAATCGGCTGTGTGTACTATACCACTGCTGGCCTGCATCTTTTGAGGGTCAAACACTTTTAAGCAAAGGTCGCGGTGGAGCAGAGCCCCCTCCGCAGATGCTGCATGCAGTACCCCCCCCCCCCCCCCAACTCCTTCCTGTATCGCTGCAGACACGCCACTGCAGCTCAGATAGCGGGGTATTAATATCCCTCAGCGTGTCCTTCCTCCCCTGCAGCAGTGCGGCTGAAGGTGTGAAGAAGCAAGCGGGGCTGTCATTCCAGCCCCAGCCGGCCTTCCTGCCCCATGAAGATGATAAAAACAGCCACTGCCCTCCTCTCAGCCCCCCCCGCCTCCCGCCAGCCACCCTGCTCTCAGCCCCCCA